TTTTTTTTTTTCGAAGGTCAACGGGAATCTGACTAAACACAACCAGTGCGCTGTGGAAATCTGCTCCCTGCCTGGCTGCCGGAAACACCATGGTCTACAAGCCGAGTGAATTCACTCCGCTCCACGCTCAGACGTTGGCCCAGATCTACACGGAAGCTGGTCTTCCCGCAGGTGTTTTCAACGTGGTGTATGGTGCAGGCGACGTGGGTGCCTACCTGACTGCTCACCCCACGATTGCCAAGGTTTCCTTCACAGGCCAGGTGTCCACCGGAATGAAGGTCGCTGGTTCTGCCGCCGGCAACATGAAATACGTGACCATGGAGCTTGGAGGCAAGAGTCCCCTCATCGTTCTTCCTGACGCCGATTTGGATAATGCCGTGGATGGTGCGATGATGGCCAACTTCTACAGCACTGGCCAGGTCTGTACCAACGGTACCCGGGTTTTTGTTCCCTCGAGCATGAAGGCTGCTTTCGAAAAGCGCCTCTTGGAGAAGATGCAGTACATCCGCCCCGGACCTTTGTTCGACGAAGCCACAAACATGGGGCCCCTGAGCTCAGCCGTCCACATGGAGAAGGTGGCCTCCTACATCCGCCACGGAATCGAGACGGACAAGGCCACCCTTCTGTATGGTGGGCTGGGCAAGCCGCAAGTCCCCAAGGACTTGGAAAGCGGATACTGGGTCCGTCCTACTGTCTTCACTGACTGCACGGATGACATGCGCATCGTCAAGGAGGAGATTTTCGGTCCTGTGATGTCTATCCTCTCTTACGAGACGGTCGAGGAGGCGGTGAAGCGGGCAAACACCACTGAGCTGGGCCTGGCTGCGGGTGTCTTCACCAAGGACCTCAACCTGGCCCACCGTGTCATCGATCAATTGCAGGCCGGTATCACCTGGATCAACAGCTGGGGCGAGAGTCCAGCCGAGATGGCTGTCGGTGGCTGGAAGAACAGCGGTGTGGGCGTGGAGAACGGTCGTCGCGGCATTGAGGCCTGGGTGAGAAACAAGAGCACCCTGGTGGATATGAACGGCTCCGTCGCCGCTGTCTTTGCCAAGCTGTAAATGAAGAAGTATGCTTAATGACCCGCGTATATACATGTCTGGATGTCTATAGGAACCGATGAATGGAAAGTACATATACCTATCGAAAAGAGTTCGGGACATTACCATACGAGTCGTTAGTGTGCTGATAATATCCGCATAGTACCAGTATCAATTACCAACTAGTATCTCTTTTGTTACCCGCACGTTGCAACGAGACAAATACCCATAATGAGCAAACAACATACCAATGTATATAACGTTGTCATTCATTCGTCTTTTTGTACAGTCTCGGTCAATCTATGTTCGTTCAGCAATTAAAACGCCATGTAAATCCATCTAATATCTTTCCTGGCACAAAACAGAATTTCCCAATGCATAATGGCAAAGAGACAGCACGTCTAGCTATCAATTTTGCGAAACAAATGCCAACCAAAAGAACAAACAAATTGAGTCCCAAGCACATGACCCTCGCGCAATCTACGATTCAACCTTATCCGCCCCCCGGCCACCTTCTACCACCAACAATCCGAAGCCGGTCAAATACTGCCCACGGAGTAGATATTCTTTCTCACAACCTCTCCCCCTCCCTTCAATGCGATGCAACCCGTGAGCCCATGTGATCAAAGAACAAGTCTCCCTTCAGAGTCGAATCCAGCCCTCCAATCGCCGAGTCAACCATACGTGAAGACATGCTGTCCGGTGTGAGTTCCTCGTCTTCTACCGATGTGTTAAGTTCCGTGTTGATTCGGAGATCCTTGGGTGCTTTCTGAGGAATGTGCGGCGGCTGGAGTTTCACGACACCCACTGGGGCAGGAACATATGTCCTGGGTCTGTAGACAAGAGGCGGACCCTGAGTACGTGCATCCGTGCCGGATTGTTCAATTGATTCGAAATAGCGAACAGTCTTGACCTTCAGCTCCAGAGTTGCATCTCGGTCGCAGACAATCAGCGCATATGGGTGTAGCTGCAGCGCTGAGAGTGTCCACATGTGGTTGATGCCGCCTTCCAGGCCTTTCTCCACAGCAAGAGCCTTGTGAGCACCGGTGGCCACGATGACTACTTCGCGAGCATCCATGATAGTCTGAATACCCACGGTCAGTGACCTCCGCGGCACCAAGTCCAAGTCATTGCCAAAAAACCGCGAGTTAGCCAGGATTGTGTCATATGCCAGGGTCTTGACACGAGTACGACTACTCAAGGAGGAGCCTGGTTCATTGAAAGCGATATGCCCATCTGGACCCACGCCACCCAGGAAGAGCTCAATACCGCCATAGCGAGCAATTCGCGCCTCAAAGGACGAACACTCAGCTGCGAGATCGGGTGCGTTACCATCAAGGATATTGATGTTCTGGGGCGGAATATCCACGTGGGAGAAGAAGTGCTTGTACATGAAGCTGTGGTAGGACTCCGGATGGTCACGAGGCAGTCCAACGTATTCGTCCTAGTTTTTTTAGCAAAGAAAATAGTGCTTGCATGAAAAGGAGTGGGGGGAGGGGGCTACTAATGCATACCATATTGAACGTTACGACATTTCTGAACGAGATATCACCGTCCCTGTGCCGGCGCACCAGAGTCTTATAAATTATCTCAGGACTGCTACCAGTCGGGAGTCCCAGCACAAAGGGCCGGTCTTCACTGGGCTTGAATGACTTTATGCGACCTAGACCGCATTATCAGTAAGTGGACGCATACAGCAGACAAAATCATAGAGGTGTGGCAGAATGAAGAATACGATGAAAGCACGACGAGTTTCCGGGAAGACATACTGATGATGTAATCTGCAATGTATTCTGAAGCTTCAAGGCTAGTCTCCCTAATGATTACTCTCCTAAAAAGGGACATTAGAATGAATCAATGAGGAAAGCCGCTTCCCAGGGATGGGAAACACACATGATGGAAGAAATCCGAAGGCGGATGAGGAGACTACTACGTCACTGATAAGAATGGGAGGGGCGATAACAATGAGGGGTCTCACAAAAGCGAGGACAAAGAAATGGAAAAGTAAGATGAGTCGTAGATATATGATGAAAGAAATGAAATGATGATGAAGGAGATGCAAGGTAAGAAGAGGAGGAGTGAGAGGGAGGGACGGTAGAGGAGTGGTTGGAGGAGTGGATAATATTTTTTGGAGATGCGAAGAGGAGAGGAAGAAGAATGAGGCAGGGTACCGTTGGGAGGTTAATAATGATTGTTAGAGCAGGCAACTCCATCCCAACCATGGCTCTGTTACAGTACAAGTTCCCATTCTACCCGGTAGGTCTGGATCGATCGGCCATGTGGAGTGTGACAGAATGATACATGGACTTGCTGGACTGTCCCTCAGACCGTGTCATAGTCGGGTACTACTACTAGTAGACTTACAGTGAGATCTACATCGAGTCAACGCCGAGATCACCACACGGTAGGTGATGACGACGACCTTGCCGCTATGATACACCCAAAGAGTATATTCCGAGCGGATAGAAAGACCGTGCCTTCACTGATAGGAATGCATGAGCCGAAATTGTTCACCAGTGTATCTTCCCAGGTATGAGGTTGAAGGCAGGTAGCTGTCCGATGACGCAGCACTTCCATTGCTGGTAATATTGTCCTTTTTCAAGAATTAGTTAGTAGTACTTACTTATACTGACTCCTATGAGGCTGCCAATCAGAGTACTGCATTAGCATCAAGAAAGCTGCAGAAGAACCTGAAGAGGTTAGCCTAGACACGGGGAGGTGAAAAGAACTGATGGGAAAAAAAAAAAAAAAAAAATGAAAAAGCAATTGTCACCGAATGGTATCATCAGCAGCAGCAACGTGATGTTGCAGAAGGGGGTGGCATGGGGCGAATCGGCTGGAGAAGATGCTCAAAGAAGCTTGCCAAGAAGGACATCCCCGAGGCAGGTGACCGTGGTGTGGCATATCTACTAGTAACTAGTAGATACTAGTAAGCTATCATGTTGGAAGATAACACTGATAAAGAGTTGAAGGGGAGTTCCGCCTAACCCGACGGGGCAGCGTCCCAGTGCTTCCGTTCCATTTAATTGGTTCAAAGTCTGTTGGCGGGCGCTGCCGTTGCATTCGGCCATCGCGGCAAACCGGGGAAACAAGCCCTGTGTGTCACAGACCCATGCAACCCTCCAGGCTCCCTCCGCTGTGACCAACTGGTAAGGTATGGTACAAACATACCTATCCGAGAGACACCCGTATTGTATGTATCAGACTGGAAATCAATTTCAGCCGTCACTGTTTCAGTATCGTAATGTGAATGTATTAATGGTACTCCACGTGATTACTTCACACAGATTGTCCGGTGGAACATTATTCTTCCAGCACATGGGGGCTGGCAGACATGCCAATACCGAGACCGGTGCAGGGAGGAAGGATGCCATCCATGTTGATTCGACTATCATGCTAATCTATCTACTAGATGGGCAATAGACAATAGGATTGGCGGCATCAGTCTATGATCTATCTGCTCCCAAGGGACTTCCTAACCCATAGAGCCCAGTCTATCAGGCTATATCCCCTGGCTTTTGATAACTTCGACTTCATGCCCTTGGAGTTGTTGGCTCCTTCACACCCGTTGTCAGCGCGGCAGTCAACCGGATCTCAGACAGACAGAATATTGCCAGCAGCTACTTAGTTACCTACTTAGTAGGTACTACTAGTAGTCAGGACTTCCCATCTTGGGAAATTGGAGGCTCGCTCAACCGGCCACTCATCATCTGATCCCTTCTCCGATCCGCCCGGGCTTTATCTGATCCATGAAGCTTGCGAGCTAAAGCAGAAGGTAGCTTGGTATCAACTGCCGGCGCCGGCGCGCCTGTCCGCCCACTTTTCTTTGACGTTTGCAACCGACTACCTTATTCACTGGGACTCCCTCGATTCCGCCCGATCAGTGGTTGCATTTCCGTTCCATACCTACAGCGCCTCTCCCCTATCAGTCCTACTACTGCTGCTACTATTACTGCTGCTACTGCTACCTACCCCATCCATCATCCCGAAACGAGATTTCTTTACTTTGCCATTGCACCCGCAACATTCCTTCCCACGCCGGGCTCTCATGGCTCCCAAAGAGGACATGTTGCCGCCTGGCTGGGAGGATCTAGACAGGTAGGCGTGTAGCCTTGGCATTCCCTTTTTCGATCAAATCCGATTATTTGATCCCTTTCTGTCTCCTTTGCCATTGATTGATACACTCCCCAAGTTACAAATTCTTACTTCGCATCTGTTGAACATCACTTCCTGTACTTGCCTGTTCTGGAACAAACAGGACGTTACCTTACTCGCCCTCGTCGGTTTATTCCTGTCATCCATCCCATCCATCCACCCATCCATCCACCCTTCTCCCTCCTTATTCCGCTTCCCTCTCTCAACCTTCATAACTTTGAAAAAGCACTCCCCCTCACCTCATCATTGCCTTTCTATCCATCGATCATGGCTGACGGTTAGGCTGCCACATCGTCCCTCGGCAGGCAGATGGGCCAGCTTTTTATGATGGGCTTCGACGGAACGTCTGTTAGCCCTCAGATCCGCTCATTGATTAAAGACTACCATTTGGGCTCGGTCCTACTCACTGCCAAAAATCTAAAATGTATCTCCGCACCTTACCCTTCTTGTCCCTTACCATTTCCCATATGGACAGTAGCTGCGTTGCAGCCATGTTCGCTTGCCTTTCTGTAAATCTACGATGCTGATCCACGTCTAGCTGCCGAGGATGCAACGCGACTGGTCCTGGAACTCCAGACAATTGCCCGGGATGCTGGCCATCCGGTACCACTGCTCATCGCTCTCGATCAAGAGAATGGGGGCGTGAATAGTCTTTATGACGAGATATACATCCGACAGTATCCTAGCGCCATGGGGATCGCCGCTACGGGTTCGAAAACTCTGGCCCACGAAGTCGCAACGGCCACTGCACAAGAGCTTAAGGCTGTCGGGGTCAACTGGATCCTCGGCCCAGTTCTAGACGTACTCACAAACGTACGGTCCCAGCCTCTAGGCGTCCGCACCACCGGTGACGACCCGCAAGAGGTGTCGCAATACGGTGTGGAGTTCATGAAGGGCTACCAGAAAGCAGGTTTGGTCACCTGTGGCAAGCATTTTCCTTCATATGGCAACTTGGAATTTCTCGGGTCTCAGACCGATGTCCCAATCATCACGGAGTCACTGGAACAGCTCAGTCTCACCGCGTTGGTGCCTTTCCGCAACGCTATTGTCCAGGGATTGGACTCCATGATGGTCGGGGGCGTTTCAATGTCCTCCGCCGGAGTCAACGTTATGCATGCCTGCCTGAGTGAGCAAGTCGTCGATGATCTGCTACGGAAGGACCTCAAGTTCGAAGGCGTTGTCGTTTCGGAGTGTCTGGAAATGGAGGCCCTCACACACAACATTGGCGTTGGCGGAGGAACAGTGATGGCCAAAAATGCGGGATGTGATATTATACTCCTCTGCAGGTCGTTCCAGGTGCAGCAAGAGGCCATTAATGGCCTAAAACTCGGCGTGGAGAACGGTATTATCGGGCGGGCCCGCATAGAGCAATCTTTACGCAGGGTTCTCAAACTGAAAGCCAAATGCACCTCCTGGGAGCGGGCCCTCAACCCTCCCGGCATCCCTTCGCTGACACAGATGCAACCGTCCCATACCAGTCTCTCCACCCGGGCATACAATAGCTCTATCTCGGTTGTGCGGGACAAAAAGAACCTCCTTCCCCTATCCAACATTCTGGAATCAAATGAAGAGCTACTTCTGCTCACGCCATTAGTGAAGCCGCTGCCTGCTTCAGCCGTATCCCGCTCTGTAAGTGAGCACTCAAACATGTCGCTCGATCCTATATCGTGGGACCGGACGGCTTCCGTGTTAAGTGGCGAAAGCGTTTTCAAGGAGCTCGGGCGGTCCCTTTCGCGGCAGAGGAGTGGCCGTGTCTTGCATACATCCTACACGGCTAACGGCGTGCGTCCAATCCATGAAAATCTCATTGACCGGGCCAACGCAGTGATCGTGGTCACTGCAGATGCTAACAGGAATCTATACCAGCATGGATTTACTAAACATGTTTCCATGATCTGTAGATCACAGTTTACCCCATCTGGTGAAGCGCGCGAGAAACCTCTTATTGTTGTCGCTGCCAGTTCTCCATACGACTTCGCCATGGATCCGTCTATTGGAACCTATATTTGCACTTACGATTTCACCGAAACCGCACTGGAGGCCCTGGTTAAAGTGCTCTATGGGGAGTTGAACCCCGTTGGCTCATTACCTGGTTCTATAAGCCGCAGTCAGAAGCTACACCAAGCAAGACAGCACTGGTTGGTAGAAACTTGGAATGAGGAAAGGGATGCTCGCTCTTTGGATTCTCTCTTGGATGCCGTTAGAGGAGATTGTGCCCAGGGACAACGTTCCGAACTGTTGGGAGTAACGTCGAGCAGCTTCCTGCTTCGGCGGGAAGAGATTGACGAAGCGCATTTCGTCGTTCGAAACAGCAGCACTCAAGCTTTGTACGGTTTTTGTTCCACGTACTTCTTTCGCTCTACGGGGACTGGCGTTATTGGTTCCTTAATCGTCCATCCTGCACGACGAAAGTTGTCGATTGGAAATTCACTCCACAGCCGCGCCATTCGAACCCTTCTTCAGCGAAAAGGAGTGAAAAGATTCCAGCTCGGCTCACGACTTCCGGGGATTTATCTTGGCATCCCATCGGCGAACCCAGTAGAGCGTAAAAGGCTGCGGCAATGGTTTGCGAACCTGGGCTGGAATACGGCACTTTCGCGGCCCGTTTGCAGTGTGGTGCTCCGCAACCTAACCACTTGGACGCCACCCGACGGGCTGGTCTTTGGCCTTCAAAATGCAGACGTGACCTATGACCTCGTCCATGGCTGGGATCACGCGGATTCCATCCTTGATCATATCAAGACGAACTCCAGGCAAGGTGTGATAGACATCTACCGGGTAGCTCTAGGAGGGGCTCCACATTGTGGCATCATTCGGGCCACACGGCCTGGCGATGGGGCTATTCTGGGAAGCGTAGTTATATACAACGGACGGGCGACCTTGGCAGAACACATGCCCGCGCTGAAGTCTACCCAAGTCCTGGCGGGGGGCATCTCATCCCCCGTCATTTCGCCTTCGGTGGGCGAGTACGCCACAGTCATGCAGGGGTTGGTCTTGCTGGGCATCAAACAGATTCGCAAACAAGGCGCCGAGGCTGTGATCATGGACAGTGTGAGTGACAAATCCATTTGGTTGGTGTGCAATAAAATTCTCTCCTATTAACATGGCGATTCTAGGTTGATGTTGATGGTAATTTCGAGTGCTTGTCAGGACTGGGCTTTAGCACTCTGCACAGCTTCGAAGAGGTCAATTGCGATGCAGCAACATGGACTATGGTGCCTGGACCTTGACCGCTTTTCCACTTGTGTACCCACAAAGTTCTCTTTTGGTCTCGATATTCATTTGCTTGGTTGCCTGCTGCCATAATGTATGATTATGGGGGGCTGCTCGGCATCGTACATACGATATCCACACATAGTTGCATCTTTTCTTTGGGACATGTGTCCTCTTGCCTTCATTCGCGAGCTCTTCAGTTGGGGGACGTCGGTCCCCTTTCTATCTTTTCAAATACCTTCTTAGCTGGTTCCATCGAGCCGATCAGCTGAATGTGATTTCAAAATTGGCCACGTAGGTGTAAGCGATAAATTGATTTGGAGGGCTAAAGTACTTGGGAGGTCAACGCATCGGACACAGTCACAAGCAGGTACAGAAGAGACATGCTTTACGAAAATGCCGATCGCCGCTTAGATGATCCACGCGATAGTGCCGGTGCGGAAATTAATTTGGAGTGGAGCGCTACTGGGTCGGAGGATGTTTGCGAAGCGTTGAGTGATGGATATTGAAAACATCCAAACGCACCATGTCCCGAATGCGGTTGCTACAGCCCCTCGCTAGAGTTCTAGACTTGTCAGGCGAGAGTTGAGAATCCGCGCAACGAGCATTATTAGCATCAGTCATTGTGTTGGGATCCCCTGTAACGACACGGGATACACACATACACACACACACACTCTCTCTCTCTCTCTCTCTCTTTCTTCTGGTCTGTAAGATCCACTGAGCAAGTCAAAGCGGTCACCCATGAGGAAAACGCCGCGGAACATCAAGGATTTGCGGTATGAGCTCCACCTCCGAGATCCTCCCGATGGATTTGGAGAAATTGTCAAGACCAGTAGGAAGTGATAGGGAAATGGGAAGAGGGGCAACAGAGGCGAAGGTACCGAAGTGGCTGTTCCACGGCAGCAGCAATCATCCCTGCTGCTGCTTTCGGACGTCGGGGCCAAACTGGGTCCGGCCAACAGCAGGAGAAAACCGTCCTTGTGGATTGGGTGGTTCTCAAGGTACTAGCTCAATCTTACTAATACTCTGTCCCCCCCAATGCAGTCTTGCACTCTCCACCTGGAGATATCTACTGGTCCACTACAGTAGAAGCATCTACGTTTGTACATATTTCCTAGTTAGATCTGTCCCGGTAAATCGTCTTCTGTGGTCTCTATTGACTACTCAGTAAGTAGTAGCTTTAAGCCCCACGCGTGGAGAAGGGAAGGGGAGAGGGTCGAATCGGCTTGGATTAAACTGCAGTCCCACCCCGCGGATTTGCGGTCCGTCCGGTTGCGGTGGCCACTTCCAAATCAGTTGTTGTAATGTCCTTTTTCTTTCCCCGGTTGATTTGGATCTTTCAATTTCATTCCTATTCTACTCCGTATTCTATTACTATATTCATGTAAATTTAATTGTCCTTGATTCGTTAATTTGATCCCGGGTCTTCGAGTGGGTTTTCCGTTTCCGCCTTTTATTTTTCTTTTTGTTGTTAATGAAAGGGAAATGTCTAAATAACTAAATAAATTAGCAATGATGATGATATTTCCGGTCCCTGCATGGACCTGAAGCAGACCAGATTCAGAAGGAGCAGAATATAATGGAATCCACTCAACTTAACCAGGGAACTCGAAATGACGACATGGTGCCCATCTTCGGGGTCAGATTGGGTAAATCAGCATCGGATCTCACCCCTGAGAATAAAAGCAGAAGTGGTCAGGGACGGATGCTCTAAGCAGGATACGTCAAGGAACCTGCTTTTGCCTCTTTTGCACACATACACACACAGCCCGAGAGAGAGAGAGGCCTCCATAACGTAGTGTGGGCACAACAGCCAACGAACCAATTCCATAACTTAATTAGCCCGACCTGAGACTTGGAACAAAACGAACATGTGACTGGGCGGTCGCCCCCCCTCCCCCCGAATATTCACATCGCAGCTGCGATCCCGTCTTTGTGTCGTGCTAAAATCGGATTGATGATCAGCACGGGAAGTGTGAGTTTCTGCCCAAATCAAGAGGCACACAGCCTAGACTCCAGACCGGACCAGGAGATGGGATTCTAGTGTGTATCTAGATACAGATTTTCCACTGGCAGGTGTAAGGCTGGTGCCAAGCACGCCCTGAGAGGGGGCCCCCGACCAGAGAAAATAGCGAAAAAGGATGGATGCAGGTGTTTTTGACTTTGGAGTCGGTCCCACAAGAACTGGCTTGTGATCCTGTCAGCCTGTCACACACTTGCTCCGAATTCTGTTTCTCACTGGTGTTTGCCGCTTTCTGTGTGGAGGGGAGGCAAAAGGTTGTACCGTAAGCCAGCAAGTACCTAGTTAGTAGAACGTCTAGGAAGGTTCACGAAGCAGTAAGCATTATGAACGAATTGATCGATCCCCTTGCATACCCGAATTGTTTCTTTTTGAGATTTAATTAATTTCCTCCATACATAATATGTATTTTCAAAAAAAAAAAAAAAAAAAAAAAAAAAAAAAAA